AGAGACAACGCAAGGCAAGAGCCCGAAGAGCAAATCAATGTAGGTGCGAACCTTGTGCAAAGAAAAGACAAGCTCAAAGAAAGGAGGCTAAGAGGCGTGGTTTGCGATGGAAAAAGAATGGTTGGTGGATACCGACGGATGATTGTGTGAGGTTGAAGGGATGGGACCCATGGCCCGAACCAAAGGGGACGGTCGCCGAGAGGAAGGGCGACGATGATCGGCTAATGGGCGAGTGGCGCGCATCGGCCCATGATGCGCGCGGTTGGACGGTCGATGACGATGCACCAGCAGCGGACGTACGGGCCACGGGAGTTGGCGGTGACGAGCGGGCGTCGGGCAGCGAGGACGTGACGCAAGCTGGATGTGCGATAGGTGGCCAGGCCGTGGGGACGGCTGGAACGTGCAGTAACGCGGACGGTGCGCGGGAATGCACCGCAGGCGATGGGGGCCTTGGCGTTAGCAAGGACGCGAGCGAAGAAGCCGGCGGGAACGAGGCGCACGATAGGCGCGCGAGTACAAGTGACGTGGAAGGAAGCCGTGGCCTTGTGGGCATCGGACTGCCGAGCGCGGGCGCACACGCGCGGGAGGTGAGCGACAAGGACGGGGCATGTGCGGTGGCGCGCGAGTAGGCGACGTGCGCAGACGCATGCCTATGCGCGGGAGGATTAGGTGAGGTAGGCAGCACGTACGCAGGCAGTGTGCGAACGGGAGAAGACCGTGTCCTAGCGGGCGTAGGACTACTAGGCGATGGCGGGTACGCGTGCGGGACGGACGACACAAGCAAGGTGCGCGCGTCAGCGCGCGCGGATGAGGGGCGCAAGCGAGGCCTAGTTGCCGAAGGAATAGGAGGCCAAGGGACGTCGCACGGATGACGCGTGCGACGCGATACGCGTAAAGCGTCGAGACGTGCGCGACGCGTGCGACGCAAGAGTTGGAGGCGGCCGAGAGTTATTAGCGTGTAGGGTTTGATTTTAGGAGCTTCTAGAATTGCTTGGTGTGCAAGCCAAGCATTATATTTTGGTAGGTTTAGGATTTTATTGCTTTCTAGACTTAGGATTTCTATTCTTGCATGATTTAGGAGATCTATTAGATTTAGGCCTAGATTTATTTTACAACTATAAATACCCCATGTACCTCATCATTATTTTACAAGTGGAATGAAGTATTGAATTGGTGAGCCAATCTTGAGGGGGAACCTTGTGCTCTTAACGTGTGATAAAGAAGGCCATTAGTGCGTCTTTACATGCAGTGTCGGAGAGAAGGCCAATAGTGCGTCTTGAAGTCACGGTGTCTAGGAGAAGGCCGCAGTGCGTCTGCTAGATACATCTATCGGGGATAAACGAAGGCCGCAGTGCGTCGTTTATTCGCAACCCAGTATAGGCAATCACACGATCCACTTTTCATCACACGCGTGTAGCGCGCGCGGGTGACCGAAGCCGCCGAGGACTAGGCGTGCGATAGAGGCGGCGTGCGTGTATAAGGCGGCTAAGTACTTGGGGCGTGTGGATTGAATTGTTTGGAGTGCAAGCCAAGCAAAATCAAGATCTAGTCAAGTTAGGACTTTAATATATTTAGTTTTCTTCTTGCACAATAATATCTAGAATGTTTAGGAAGTTAATATTTTATTGCTTTAATATGTTTCCTAGGTAGATTAGAATTAGTCATAGTTAGGATCTATAAATAGGGATGTTCCCTCATTGTTTTTGGATGTCCAAGAATGATGAAATAGAAAAGAACGTTTGTTCAAACCGTGTGTTGAGAGTCGTGAGATTCGATCATGCAATCGAATTGGTGAGGCTAAGACCCGAGCCAGTTCAACGATTTAGAGAGGCTAAGACCCGATCTATTTCGAGAGTGTAGCGAGGCTAATACCCGAGTGAACTCAAGTATCGTGAGAGAGTTAGGCTAATAACCGAGTCGATCACACCTATCGTCGAGAGCAAGGCCGTGGCGAAGCCGTGATCGAGACAAGACGAGTGAATGAACACCCGATCCGTCATCAGGTTAGCCCGGCGCACGGCCGAGACGTAGGTTTTTGTTTTTGTTTTTTTTTTTTTTCTTTTTGAAAAAAAAAGCTTGTCATACCAAACGAAACTTATTTAAATACATGAAACTTATAAATCAATCAAATAAGTTATAAGGTAACTTATAACTTATTTGTGTACCAAACATAAATTTTTTTTTTAATCCTACTTTTTGAAAAATAAAAAAATAAAAAAATTCAATAGTCGCATGCGGTGTTTCTAAAAAATTTCAAACACCTTTTCAAATATAGCGTATTCGAAAAGATTTGCAGTTTATTCCTAATTAAAAAATGGGAAATTAGGGTTTATAATCTCGAGGGGTTTGGGAATTTTGGTAAAGCAATTTGAAATTGAGAATAGGTAGAGAAATGAACATAATGCCGATGAATTCAGCTCCTTCGACGCCTCTCAATCTCGTCTCGACCGAACAGATTCAGAAGGTACAACTCTCGCTGCTGAAATTCTTTCTGCTGTCTCTTTCTGTTCCTAATTCCAATGGACATGTCGAAATCTTATCGAGAATTGTTGTATAGGCTTTAAAGGCTGCGCTTGTAACAGATATTTTCTTTGTGTATGCGTATAATAATATATTTAATCATGAGGGAGATATTTCTTTTTTATTTCTAATTTGGAGTAGAAACATTTTTTGAATTTTTTTGAAGTTGGTGTTTAATTCTGTCTGGATGGGAAATTTTGAGTTTTCTTTTTATTCCTGTCTTTTCAGGATACGAGTTTCACAATCAGAAATTTTATTCTGCAATTTATATAATTTTGATTACAACAATGATACCGGATGAATATATTATGCTGATTGACTAATCTTTGTGAAACCATTTGTCAATGTGTGGTTCTGAGCCATGTCGAGTTAGACAATTACTTTTCTTGTCCGTGGTTTATTTGCATTGTGCAAAAATATAATGGCGGGTGATCTGTTGCTTCTTTTGATGCAGTATTTGGATGAGAACAAAAACTTGATCATGGCTATACTGGAAAGTCAGAACATGGGAAAAGTGACTGAATGTGCTCAGTGAGTAACTCCAAAAGTGTAATATCTTTGTGTTTCTTCTACTCATCATCTCATACTGAACAAGATATTTTGTGTAGTAACTTATTATGGATAGAGTAAGTTGCATCTCAAGATCATAGTTGTTTCTTAGTCATCCTGCACCTATGCTTCTTGATTGAATGTGTAAAATCTTCATCAATCATTTAAATCGGATGTTTCAGGTATCAAGCAACCCTTCAGAAGAACTTAATGTATTTAGCTGCGATTGCTGATGCCCAGCCTCCTGGATCTGGAACGCTGTCCCAGGTATCCCCTCAACTACTTTGTTTATTTAAGAAAAAGGGAAGAATCTCACAGTCTAAAATCTTAGTTTAAAACAACAATAATAGAGTTGCTAAATAAAGGGCCACTTTCAGGGTAAAAACAGAATTGCTTTCAGAATGTGGATGCGTTTGCTTCTTTTTATGCTAACAATCAAGAATTACCCACGCAGGCCCCCCCGACCAGTCCAGTTCCACAAGCCCAAATGCAGGCGCAACATGGTGGGCCCGTTCCCAAGGTACCGTTCCAAGTCAATGCAGTGAGGCCTCAAGACCAACATTTTCAACAGGTACAAGGGCAATTTAGTGGTGCTAATAATAATGGTTTGCATTTTCTCGTGCAACCTGGGCTGGGAGGTTCAGGTGGAGGTTCTCGAGAGGGCCATGGGAGTTTGGGCTTGGGACATGTGGAGAGTAGAGATTGATTATCCTGACTTTTTTTGTTTTTCTGGGTGACAAGAGGGATATTCTTGCTCGTATTTGAATTAGAAATACTCGGGAAAGAATTTTTATGCCTCATTTTGTGAAACTTGAACCGGTTAGAATGAGCATCATCTACTTATTTCTTCTATTTTCTCATGCTTAATACTTCACACATAAAGGTGGCTCCAGCCTTTGTCACCTGCATACTACTAATACTATTATTATCAGTAATAGCTTGCTGTTTCCGCACCAACTATTCATTCTGAAAATATTAACTACTAATTCTAACTTATATTTTCCTTCAGGAAATAGATACATTAGTTTTCAAATCAAATTCCTCAATTCATTGTGCTCAAATGACAACGTGTATCCTTCTATTATTTTTCAGTTTGATTGTAAATTGGCCTCTGCAATTTAATATTTCAAATTTTCAGCTAAGCTGTCCTCTTATGACATATATAGTCGAAGTTTTTGGAGTTTTCAAGCTTGGTTGATGAACCATATCCAATTTGTTTCTGAGCACCCAGATGCCAATAAGTTAGTTAAAGGCATGTCTGACCCAAAATAGGTCACCCTTTATTGAAAGAATCAATTGAATTATAAGCCTTAATAACAGAATCACTAGTCTAGAAAATCTAGTTAATTTAATAAGAAAAACGTCTTCACATTATCGCAGCATGATGCATGCAAATAACAAAATAAGGATTAGAGAGAGAAAAAATACTCTCCCATTGGAGAATTTTCACCCATGTCACCTTGGCCATTTTGAGCTCAACATCCCTAAATTCCTTGCATTTTGATTCAGTATAATTATTCCCGAAATTATTTCCATCACAGTGTGCCGGATTGGAGAAGAATTCACCTATTTGCGTGAGGTTTTCTTGATTCGCGAACAGATTTATTGGAGCTGTGAGCTCACGAATCTTGCTCAAATTCTCTCGATTTTGTGCGCTTTTTAGCTGGATTTTGTGACTGATTGATATATCCTTAATCCCGAAAGATTTGTGCAAGATTCTCCAGCTTTTGTGCTCGATTTCAGGCCCGATTTTCTTTAAATCCCGCTGCTACAGTAAATTCTTCAAGTGCTACAGTGATTTCTACACTTTGATGGGGAAAAATAAGAGGAAGATGGTTTTTTGGAAGCTGACCGAGGAGGAGTGCTCTCGCCACACAGATGAAGAGGCTGAGGAGAAAGCTTTGAATGAGCTGCAGGCCTCCGAAACCGAACATGAGCTTCCCTTCCCAAATGGTAAGAGGCTGATGGAGTCGAGACCGCGATAGCATTTTTGAATAAATATGATCGTCTTCGTATCTAGCGTGTTTATTTTCATTAGCAGTCTTTTATTTAGTATTGGGCTTTCCTCATCAATTTGTGGTTATTGGACCTTTATTTATTAGGCTTTGCAGTTAGGTTAATTATCTGATGTATAAGAATAATCGTCTCTCACTGAGAGAGTCAGACTTTGATGAATAAACTTTGAGATTTCTCGTAAGAATTGTTCGTGTTCTTCCCGTTCATACAAAGGCTCTACATCAGTTGGTATCAGCAGGCCAGCAACGATCAACGATGCCGCCGAAAAGAAACGTCGTAATCGAAAACGCCATTGATGAATGCTTCCAACGGGTGGATGAACGCTTTCATGGAATAGACGAAAGATTTACGGATATCTTAACGGGGATCGAGGACTTGCGAGATGTTATGCGAACGTTGATGGATGAGGTTCGTACAAATCGTGGCGCGGCTCACCGGGGCGCACACGGGGGACTTCGCGGCGGCCGTGGTGGTCGAGGGTATGATGGGGCACCCCGTCGACGATCCCCATTTCCGTCGCCCGGTGATGAAGAGACGGATAACGAAACCCTTTCGATGGAGAATCCGTTCGTCGATGTTGACCCGAATTGCGGCAGAGGAGGAGGCTAGCGCAGGCGGGGAGACCGTGAAGAGAGGCTCGACGACGTAGGGTTTCGGGGCGACGATTTTCACCGTCGTGACGGAGACTGGGAACGCGGTTGGCAGAGGGCCAACGGAGAGGGGCTTTTCTAGCGCGACGACGCGTGGTCGGATGATGATGACAGGCTCAGTCGTGATGGGCACCGGGAGGAAGATTTTCACCGCGAGGGGCGGCGGAAGGAGGATGACCCGTGGCGGCGTGGTAGGCATAGGGCGGATGTCGATGGCGATTTTCAGCATGGGGGAGGTTTCGACGATCGCCGCGGTCAGGCTGCGGGTTGGCAGGACCGGCGCGAGGGCATGCGTCCGATAGAAGGAGGCGATGCATCGCGTTGGGAAGCTGGGTTTCGAGTGGATATTCCCGAGTATCATGGCAGGGTCCAAGGTGATGAATTCTTGGATTGGTGGGCAAAAGTGGAGGCCGTACTCATATTTAAGGAGGTGCCCGAAGACCGTCGTGTTGATCTTGTGGCCACGAGGTTTCGAGGGCGCACTGCGGCGTGGTGGATGCAACTTACGAGTATGCGACATCGTCAAGGGAAAGCACCTATTGCTTCTTGGGTCAAATTTCGGGAATGTGTGGAGCGTGAGTTTCTACCGTTCAACTATGATAGCCTCATTTACCAACAACTTCAAAACTTGAGGCAGGGGTCGCATTCGGTAGATGGATACACTGATGACTTCTACCGCCTTCTGACTCGTGTGGAGTTATGTGAAACACAAAATCAGTTGATTGCTCTTTATGTGGGAGGCTTGCGTGTGGCAATTCAAGACATGCTCAATTTTGTTCAGGCTGAATCGGTTTCTAATGCGTACCAACGTGCCCAACTCGCAGAACAACAATTAGCCCGGTAAGCTGGCCCGACATTTTCACCGCCTACGCGTACTGGTCTGGGTGGTGGTGGCTTGTTGCAGCCCGGTCGTGCGATTCCGTCGACGGGAACTGGGGAGGGGCAACAGGTAGTGGCTGGCCGCCTCACGGGTCCTGTCGGCGGTCTGACACGGGCGATTGGTGCTGGTGTTCCACCGCCTGCGGCGAGGCAGCGCACGAGCCCAGGCTTGAGATGTTTTAGTTGCGGTGAGGTTGGTCATCGTCAGGCGGCGTGTACTCGAGGGTCAGGCTCTCGTGGGTTGTTCATTAACGATAGTGGCGAGGTGGACGAGAATGCGGAGTATGACGGTCCACCAGTTTTTGATGTTGAACCCGGACTGCACATGGTGCATCATATGAGTGATGTTGGGACATCAATCGTGATTCGTCGCTCTTGTTTGACTCCAAGGTCGACAGGAGATGAGAAGGAGCGGCACCATATTTTCGAGTCCACATGCACTATCGACGATAAGGTGTATCACTTTATCATTGACTCGGACTCCTGTGAGAACGTGGTTGCACAGAAGGCTGTTGACAAATTGCGGCTGTCGAGCGAGCCTCATCCCCAGCCCTACACTCTCGCATGGATACAGCGAGGCAAACGCTATTATGGTTGATCGTCGGGTCTTACTATCCTTGTCCATTGGAGCGAGTTGTCGGGATAAGGTTTGGTGCGACATGGTTCCTATGGACGCATGTCACGTGTTTTTGGGAAGGCTGTGGCAGTATGATCGTGCTGCTACTCACTATGGCAGGCTTAATACATACAGCTTCACTTTGGAGGTACTCAGATTGTCTTATATCATGCTCCTCCTCGTCCCGTACTGGCTACTACTTCTTCGAATGTTCTACTTCTATCCCGGGCTGCTTTTGTCGAGGAGATGCGGTCGACCCGGTTTGTCCTTTTACTTGTGGGCTCAGACGGGTCGGTTGAACGCGAGCCCCCAGCCATTATTCAGCCACTGTTGTCGGAGTTTGCTGATGTTTTTCCTATCGATCTTCCCACCGGCTTGCCTCCATATAGACTTGGTCTCGGGGGCCTCCCTTCCTAACAGGCCGCATTATCGGATGAGCCCGGTGGAACACGAGGAGCTTCGCCGCCAGGTGGAGGAACTTTTACAGCGAAGAGTTGTTCGTCGAAGCCTTAGCCCGTGTGCCGTTCCGACCTTGTTGATTCCGAAGAAGGACGGGGCGTGGCGTATGTGTGTTGACAGTAGTGTTTTAAAAAGCGTGATTTCGCATGCTACATAGCCGCAACAGCCGCACTTTTGGCCGAAAACGCGCTGTTGCATTTAAAAATTCGCGTAGTTCCTCAAATGCGCACGCTTTTGGTGACATGGCACGCTTTTCTCGCGATTTCGTACGCTATTCACGCAATATTGCACACGCTATTTGACCCATATTTTTCAATTTTGTAGGCACATAATAAAAATAAAAAAAATAAAAATAAAAAACAAAATCGAAGGCAGCTCCAGGGCCTGACTGAACCACACCGTTGCAGGACCTTGTCCAGTGCGACACGCCCAAGTCGCCGGTCCGCCGGTCGTCGGCCTTTGACCGATTGAAATTGGCAATTCATTCGTGTTTTTCATTATTTGATTTTGGGGCTAATTAATTTAATTGGGGAGTATTGAGAATTTTTTGTTTGCGAGTTTGAATAGAAAAAAAATTAAGGTAAAGAAAAAAAAAATGTTGTCTGGGAGTGAAAGAAAATAAGAAGAAGAATAAAGAAGAAGAAAATTTAAGAGAAATAAGGAAAAAAAAGTAGTTGTCTGTTGAAGAAGAAAAAAAGAAGAAGAGATAAAAATGACAAAGAAAGAGAATAAGGAAAGAAGGAGAGAAATAATAAAAAAAAAAAACAAAGGGAAAAAAAACGTGTGTGTATACGTGTCAGTTGTGTGGTGTGACCGTGAGTGGGTAGGATAGTGACAATTATTTTTTTTTTTTTAAATAATTTTGAGAGATGTCAAAGGTTTAGTTTAATTATTAAGCTAAATAAATTATTTTATTTAATGTAAAGGGACCAAATCGATCTAGAATTAATTTTCCGAACTTTAAATATTTTAGTGGAGGACTTTAGGCGAGTTTGGTTACATATATTATTATTTTTGGCATTAAAAGTGAACTGCTCGAATAACTTACGCAATGTGCTACGCTATTTGCGCTACGCAATATAAAGA